CATCGCTTCTAGGAACAAGTGCCTTACTAGTAGTAACAAGAACGCTATTAGAAACAAGTTCCTTACTACTAGGAGCAAGTGCCTTACTACTAGGAGCAGGTGCCACCTTTCTTTTGACCGTTCCTTTGACCTTAGTTACAGTAAACCACAGAAATGCACTTGCGAATGGAATCCTTCTTCCACACCATTGCCATTGGACAATATAACAATAACACAACCAACCAACAACAATAACTTTAACAATAAAAATATTATCAAATATTTAAATAAATACCTGAGAAGGGAGGGGACAAAAGTGTAGAAGGCTCCAGATCTATTGACACCTCCCCAACTGCCTTGATGTCTATTCCACACCTGGTGATTTCAGGACTTTGGAAGGACTTCGCAATCCCCCAACCACGCCGGCGGGCACGAAGCACTCGTTTTCACTCCCCAGGGCAGCAGTCATGCGCCCACGTCCAGCTACACAGACTCGAAGGGCCACGTAGACTGGAAGGTCCCCCCCCCTTGTCAAATCGTCTCAAGCGCCAAGCTCCTGCCAGGTGGTGCGCACCTCGGAAGCAAGGCTCCCACAGAAGACTGGCTCAAACAGGAGTAAAGCTCAGGTACGGTGACTGAATGATTGGCTGAACCATTGGTATTTTGCTGCAGATTGAGTCACCATTCCTCCTTCAAACAGGATTTGCCAGCTGCCTGCGGGGTCTACTGTATCAGTTCTGGCCAACATCGAGGCCAACACGTATCTTCAACATGCATCATGAGGATGCTGAGCGTGCAAAAGCTCTCATGAGAATGAGTATCCAGTGTCTTGGCTCTTTCAAGGGTCCCCCACCAGCTCAGCGTCCTCGCCAGGGCCCTGCGTTTTGGACACGAGCTTTGATGAAGTCACGCGTTGCGAGTGACGCGTTGCGAGTGAATGCAGGTGACACGGGTCCAAGCAGGGCTTCATGTCAATGTCAACGTGTCCTTTAAGAACTCCTGTGGTAGTCTGATGCAGGTAAGGCAAACAGCACACTATTTATACCAGTTGAAGGTCTGACAACCGGACTTGGGTGACTCGCGCTTAAGAACCGGCAAAATGGCTCTTGTGTATGTTTGTGTCATGTAATGTGTTACGCCTTCTGGAAAATCATATCACTCCAACATCGGACTCATGACTTTCCAACCAATCTAGCGCGAACGGCCCGGCTATTTGTGTGAAGACTTGGGGCACATCGACCTGAACTTGGATGATTGGATTGACGATGATCACCAATTGGTTGGAGTGGTGCTATTTCAGGTCTAGGCCTGTATAACCCTGATCCAAGAATCATGCTGGACAATGCTGTTGTTGGACAACATCTTGCACCAATTTAGATACCTTGAAAATTACCAAATCCACATTCAATAGCAACAGGACTTCTATGGTTTCCAGCAAGTGCAGGAGGGATTAAATACCCGATCTCTCCCTGTCTATCCCGCAATTCCAACGCAGAAAGCGTGCTCGTTCTGGGGGGCATTAAGATGGCAATTACAGAAGCAAGTTTGGTAAAGTGGAGGAGTGTTGTGAACATGTGCTCTATCTTTTGCAGCAGGCATATGACAATGAGGAAATGTGAATTCTTTAAGGCGATAGGTAGGCTTGCTCCAAGCCTTATGATTATCATGCAACACTTCACTCCAAATGAAGGTTTCTTCCAAATCAACTAACAAGACCTGTTGTGGTGTGGCTGACCAGCAGCAGAGAGCCCAAGCTAGACAAATGACCAATCCACATCCACTTGTATTTCTGGGATTCAAACGGACAAGCATCACCCTTTTGTAGGCCCTTCCTGCTTTGTCTTTTGAAACTCCCAAGGAATGGAAGGTTCCACGCGCGAATCCCCCTCGCGTACACAAATATTGACCAAATGGCATCAATTGACGAAATTCACCATTCAACCAGCAATGTCCAAAACAGTTTGACAGAATCACTGATTCACTGTTCTACCTTTCTGTTGGTACTGAAAATAACTGTTTGGCACCCAATGCCTGTCCAAACGTGTGCGTTCAAATCACCTTTGTAGGGAATTCCTTCTATATAAATATACTTGAGGCCAAGGGGGGGGGCGAAAGCTAGCGCTCCAGAATGGGAAAGTGGAGGGCAGCGAGGTAGGAAAAAACACGGCGCTCTTTTTGGAGGCAGGGGTGAAGAGTCCTTTATATGTGGTTCTTTGCCCGGATCCTCCTGCGAGAGAAGAGAGAGAAGAGAGACGGAAAGACGAGAGACAGAGAGGAGAGAGAGAGAGAGAGGAGAGAGAGATGAGAGAGATATGAGAGAGATGAGAAAGAGATGAGGGAGAGATGAGAGAGATGAGAGAGAGATGAGAGAGAGATGAGAGAGAGTTGAGAGAGATGAGAGAGAGATGAGAGAGATGAGAGAGAGATGAGAGAGAGATGAGAGAGAAGAGAGAGATGAGAGAGAGAGGGTGGGTGAGAGAGAGAGAGAGAGAGAGAGTGAGAGTGAGAGTGAGAGTGAGAGTGAGCGAGTGCGGCCGCAAGATACGCAACGCTAACCACATGCCAAAGAGCGACGACAGGACGGAGTCGAACTTGCGAAGAGGGAGGAGGGAGGGAAGGTGGGAAGAAGACAAGGAGACAAGGAGGAGGAGAGGGGAGGAGGGGAGAGGGGAGGGGGGGGGGGGGGGGGCTTCGACCTGAAAAATCAGGGGTTAGGATTTGCACCCGATCGAAAGAAACCTTGCTATCGCAAGAGTAACTCCAGCTAGCTTCGCTAGCTTTCGTGACTTATTCAGGGTGTATATGTTGACAGGCAGGGGGAAAATGCTCGAAACTTTCGCTTCCCTAGAAGACCACAGACCTGAAGTGAAGTAATCCACCCCGCGCCTTGCACTTCCTAAAGTGTTTGGCCTCATCATCAAAGAAGCCAGGGCAGCTGTAGGTACCTGCAAAAGGCATGTTGTCAAAACCGCAGCTTAAGGCCTGACCCGGTGGAGTGCAAACGGTGAAGTACAGTATATATTTGAACTGCCCTCCGTAAGTCAACGGAACAACCTGAGACGTCCTCCAAGACACCTTTCTTCCCCCGAGGCTGCCTGTGACCTTGGAGAATCTCAACTTCTGCTTCTCGCACAGCGGACACGTTGGCCTCGAGCCGTGATTTGTTGCCGCACGTGCACCGCACGTGTCGATCAGCTGAGGAGGTTGATCCCGTTGGCCTTCACCAGCACGACGTCCCACAACACCTGTACTTGCAATAAGGACATCTCATGTTTGTTGCTATAAAACATCAGGGAAATGTGGCAAAAACTGTGAACCAATCCTTCAGTCTTCTTTTCTACACCAAATCCAACCCAGCTCCTCTCCTCCAACGCCTACCCAACATGCCTACCCAACGCCGACTCTTTCGCTGGGCGTCCCCGACGGCACGCCCAGCGCCTTGGCCTCCGCCACCCGCTCCAAGAGCTCATCCTTGCGGCCGCTCCTCGGCTCGGTGCGACTCCTTGCGTCGACCGGATGAGTAAGGCCAGGAGCCCCTAGAAGCGTCCTTGCTCCTAGTAGTAAGGCACTTGTTTCTAATAGCTTCTTGTTACTACTAGTAAGGCACCTGTTACTAGAAGCGATGCACTTGTTACTAGTAGCGTTCTTGTTACTACTAGTAAGGCACTTGTTCCTAGTAGCGTCCTTTGCAGCCTAATCACAAGAAGAATGCCCTCCCCTTGGTCAGATCCCTTGGACCTTGACCTTGAGCCAAGCAGCTTTGGCAGGCCATTCTGCGCCAGCATGGCCCCTCAAAATTTGCGCGCGGCTTGCACGAGTCGGGTGGGTCGGCATCACCCTCTATAATTTGGTTTCAATGAGAGGTCGGACAAGAACACGAGAAGTGTTCTAAAGTTCTTCAAGAATGAAGGCATGAACGGTCGTTCTGTTAAAAATGAAACCCCGTATATAGTCCAGTGTTGCAGCACAGGGCTAGCCAAAGAGTGCTCGCTTCAGAACAGGACACCGTGGAAAAGGAGACTAACGAATGTGCTTCGCATCTGGGGCAGCTGCTTTCAGAGTCCGCAACCACGAACACAATTGTTCAATGTTTCCTCTCTTCCTTTCTGGTCGATTAACATGACATTTCAGGCTGCGCCGAGGTGTTTCGCCAACCACCAAGGCCGCCCAGAACGATGCCGCCCAAGGCGCCCAAGGCCGCGACGTTCTTCTTCGCCAGTTCCACCTGAACACTTGTAATTTTTGGGCTGAAGAGCAGTTTCAGTGAAAAACAGGTAGGTCCGGCAATGCTTGTCGCGGTCACCCCGTTGGCGGACTTCAGTGCAGTACGTCATCTATATATATAAGTGACCTCGGCGTTCATTCAGTGTTTGCCCTGCACGAGGCCGTGTCGCCTTAACAGCCTCTATGGACTGCTGCTCCTCAGTGCTCAAAGCACTCACAGCATCGTTCTCCTTGCAGGAGCAAAACACATCGAGTCAAACACATCGTTCCCCTTGTGGGGTTCTTCCCAAAAGTGCTTGTTGAGATGAGCTGAAATGGCTGGAAGCAAGCAAGCTCTTCGATTCTTAGGATTAAGAACGCAAGCCGGATGCCTTGTACCTTTTCACCAGCCATCCACACCGGGCCTTGGCGAAGAACTTGGACTTCTTGGATGACCTGAAGGCCAAAGACCCAATCCTCCCCCACTTGGGCAGATGAAAGAGGTGCTCCAAAACCGACGCAACGACGCAAAGTAGAACAATGACAT